TCCTTATTGAACCTCATGAGGTTCCTCTCTGCCCAACTCTCCAGCCTGTCCAGGTCCCTCTGGATGGCAGCGCAGCCTTCCGGAGTGTCGGCCACTCCACCCAGCTTGGTGTCATCTGCAAACTTGCTCAGGGTGCMYTCWGTGCCCTCRTCCAGGTCATTGATGAACAAATTGAACAGCACTGGGCCCATCACTGACCCCTGGGGGACACCACTGGCCACAGGCCTCCAACTGGACTCCGCCCCATTTATCACCACCCTCTGAGCTCTGCCATCCAGCCAGCCCTCACTCCACCGCACCGTACGCTCGTCTAGTCCACTCGTCTAGTTATGAGGGCTACCACTTGTGCAACAGTAAGTAGAGAATATTCCTACTGTGTCACTGCACCAAATCCCCGTCACTCTGTTGAAGGTGGCCGTTCTCAGCTGTACTCATCAAATACATGAGGAAATTTGGCGCTTCCATTTACACCACCCGCAACAGCAGCACTGACTGCTCTGGAGCCAAAGCACAGACACAGAGCACACTCAGCCGGCACAAACCAGAGGTCAGACAAGGGAGCTGAACAAGGTAAAGGAGAGAGGCCATGTGAGGGTCTCTATTAAGAAAAGCATGAGTATTGATCAGAGAAGCCCTTTCTAACTTGATGATGCTTTTTCCTCATTGAACCGTGCTGCAAACCAAGAGCAAATCGTCCAACGACAGCTCGCTCAGCGAGTTCCTCTTGCTGCCATTCATGGTACACGGGAACTGCAGCTCTTGCACTTCTCGCTCTTCCTGGGCATCTACCTGGGCATCTACCTCCTGGCCAAYGGCCTCATCATAACAGCCGTAGTCTGCAACCACCGTCTCCACTCCCCCATGTACTTCTTCCTCCTCAACCTCTCCCTCCTCGAWGTTGGATTCATCTCAACCACTGTCCCCAAATCCATGGTCAATTCCCTCTGCAACACCAGGGCCATTTCCTACTGGGGATGTGTTGCACAGGTCTTTCTGTTTGTCTTTTTCATGTCAGCAGAGTATTCTCACCGTCATGGTCTATGACCGCCATGTTGCCATCTGCAGACCCCTGCACTATGGGATAATCATGGACAGCAGAGCTTGTGTCAAAATGGCAGCAGCTGCMTGGGCATCTAATTTTCTCTATGCTCTCCTGCACACTGGGAACACATTTTCYATTCCGCTCTGCCAAGGCAATGTGGTGGAGCAGCTCTTCTGTGAGATCCCCCASATCCTCAAGCTCTCCTGTTCACACTCCTACCTCAGGGAAGTTGGACTTCTTGCATTTAGTGTCTGCTTATCCTTTGKGTGTTTCCTTTTCATTGTGGTGTCCTAYGTGCAGATYTTCARRGCTGTGCTGAGGRTCCCCTCTGAGCAGGGCCGCCACAAAGCCTTTTCCATGTGCCTCCCRCACCTGGTCGTGGTCTCCCTTTTTCTGAGCACCGTAATGTTTACCCTCCTGAAGCCCCCCTCCATATCCTCCCCAGCTCTGGATCTTACCCTGGCCGTTCTGTATTCAATCTTGCCTCCATCAGTGAATCCCCTCATCTATAGCATGAGGAACAAGGAGCTCAAGGAGGCCCTGAGGAAAATCCTTCAGTATGTACAGTATCCCAAMCAATAACTGTTTGATGTGTATCCACTCATCATTCCTATATACTTGGCATACAGGATGGGTTTCCTTCCTTCCTTCCTTCCTTCCTTCCTTCCTTCCTTCCTTCCTTCCTTCCTTCCTTCCTTCCTTCCTTCCTTCCTTCCTTCCTTCCTTCCTTC